GGGTCCTCAAAAGCACTCTTCTCTTTTGCAGCTATACCACCTGCAGACCAACAAATGCCTGGTAGCCCAGGGCCGCTCCAGCCAGAAGGGAGGCTTGGTGCTGCTTAAGGCCTGTGACTACGGAGACCCAACTCAGGTGGGTGATGCCTGCCAGTGCATAGCCACTCTGGGGAAGGAAGCACATGTGGGAAGGCGGAAAATAACTGCTTCTGTCTTCTCCATGTTTCTCTGCTTCTGACCATTGCTGGTCAGTTGTTTAGACCTTGGTGCTTTCTACTGTGTGCTCTTTTCCAAACTGTAAATCCTCAGTAGATGAACCAGAGTCAGATTTTCCTGACCAATTTTTACAGCTCATTAAAGGACACCTCAGCAGAATTTTGAGTCATTGCATCCACTTAGTCTTTTCAATGTTAAAATGTAAGCAAATAACTTCAGTTTGTTACTGTAATTTCAGGCTTAACTTAAAAGACAGCATAACCAAACTGATTTAAATCCACAGCTGCCAGGAGTGGCCTGTGTTGATTGTCACTCCATTTAGTGGTACACTGCTCTCACATATGGCCCTTTTGATAAACAGAATGTATAGTTGGACAGTTCTAGAATATACTGCCTTTACAAAAAACAACTTACTTTTTTGTTTTTTTCAAGACAGTGTTTCTCTGTAGCTTTGGAGCCTGTCCTTGAACTCCCTCTGTAGACCAGGCTGGCCTTGAACTCACAAACATTCATCTCCCCCCCACCCCCCCACCCCCCCCAGTGCTGGGATTAATGTGCCAACACCACCTAGCAAAACATTGAGTGTGCATACACAAAGATCAGAAGCCAAGTTGCAGCAGTCAGTTCTCTTCTCTGATCACATGGGGACAGGAATGGAACTTAGGTCATCGAGCGAACAGGTGCCTTTCCCCCACTGGACTGAGTTAGTGAAGTGTTATCCAGGCAGGCCCTCATTCCACTACCTAAAGCAACACCTGTTTTTTAAAATCTTTTTTTGTCTTTGAATTTTTTAGATCTGGATTTATAATGAAGAGCATGAATTGATTTTAAATAACCTCCTTTGCCTTGACATGTCAGAAACTCGATCTTCAGACCCACCCCGACTCATGAAATGCCATGGGTCAGGAGGATCTCAGCAGTGGACATTTGGGGTGAGGAGCTTGCACATAAACATGGGAGGACAGGAATGGGGGCTTGAACTAGTCCTGATGCTTGTTGCAAGAATGTTTTTAAGTAAAAGCAAGTCCTTTTTTTTTCCTTGCTTTTTTCCTCCCAGAAGAACAATCGGCTGTACCAAGTATCTGTTGGACAGTGCTTGAGAGTGGTGGACCTGATGGATCAGAAGGGCTCTGTTGGCATGGCTATTTGTGATGGCTCCTCCTCCCAACAGTGGCACCTAGAAGGTTAAGGTGGGACCTGGCTGAGGACAACATAATTCACTAGGTTTTGTCACACCTGACATAAATCAAGGTGCTTAATGAAGGACGTTGCTGACCCCATCAGGCAAGAACCTTAGTAGAACATGCTTCACCGGGACTCAGGTTATTTCTGAGCTGCTGCTAAGAGAATCTTGTTTATCCAGAGAAAACAGAAAAATAATTCTGAAGAGTTGGGTCTATTAGTACAAACCCAGGAAGCAGACATTTCTATTTATTTTTATGTTTCTCTTATTCTCCCTTAGAGATGGAATGGTTTCTGTCTAATCAGGAACTTGGTCAGTTTCCTTTCATAGAGGACTTCATAGGAGATTTTTTTTTATCATTTGTTTAATGTTCCTAATAGATTTTAAAAACTGGTTGGATGCATATTTTAGCTTCAGAAAGTATCATGTATACTTAAGAGACATTTAACTATTATAAATTATTTTGATGACTTAACAGGCTGTCTACATTAAAAAATGGATCTTTTTGATCATTTAACTAGGATTTAAGCCTCTTCCATCTTGTCATTTGCTGTGGTCTGTGGTCTGGATGATCTGGGAATATGATGGGCTGACAGCCCATTAAGGAAGGTGGCAGCTGATAACTTCAAGTGGCAGTCCCTTAGCTACACCTGAGTGAATTTGGGTACAACAGTTTGCCTGTGAAACTCTCTTCCTAAAACTGCTAAGTACAAGTATCTCAGAGAAAAATTCATAGAAGTCTGCAAATACTCAAGCATGAAAATACAAGGTGATTCTCTCTGCCCCAAATTTCTATTTCTCAGGTATAATCTCATATTGCAGAAATTCAGTGATGTTAAATAAGCACAAAGCCACTTAAACCCCATTTTACATCTGTGATATGTATCTTAAGTATTCTGCCTATCGTAGACTTCAAAGACTAGAATGCAAAAGGTGGATTTAAACACACATTAAACATTAAATGTCATGTTACTTGAAAAGGTTAGAAGAATTCGAATCCTCTAAGAAGTGATAGGTTCCTCAACATCTCATAGTGTCCTGACTCTTACTCTTAATCCAGGTTTCTTTGATGTAACATGCTTAATGAGTGCCATGACTTAGCAACTATTTATCTGTATAGAATTCTGGCCTTCAGGTTATTTGTTGCTTTGTACAAGTTTTCACCTGACTTAGGGGCAAGGAGCTGACTAAGAGGAAACCAAAAGTGTGCATTCTACCTTCCACACTTGGCTGGTGTGAGCCTTATGCCTGCATGGCAAATGGCAAGCACTTAACTGCTAACTCCAAATCTGCACATTTTACTGGAAGAACTGGCTGTATTGGAACAAAACTGAACCTTAATTCTCTCCATCCTTGACCAAACACAAATTTTGGTCAGATACAGACCTGAACATAAGACGAGAAATAAAAGCTTTTGGAGGAAAATGCAGAGTATCTTCATGGCAAAGATTTGCAAACAACATATCAACCTTAAAACAGCAAAATCAGAATTAAGCACCTGTTCAAGACAGAATGAGAAAATGAAAAAACCTTGAGACTTGTGTTCCGTGTATCAGTTTTTACAATGCACAAAAGGACTGTTTGAACACGCAAGGTTTTCATCATATGAAAAGGTGCTCAATCTCACAGTCACTGATGAAATGCAATCCAAACATCAGATGCCATTTTACAACACATTGGGATTGGCCAGTAGCCAGGCAGGAAGTATAGGTGGGGCTGCCAGACTAGGAGAATGCTGGGGAGAGGATGCAGAGAGGAGCCACGAGAAAGAGACGCCATGTAGCTACCAGGAAGATAGGACATGCTGGGCATCCTACTTAGAGCCAAACAGTTTATAATAATATAAGTCTCTGTGTGTTTATTTGGGGCTAATGGGCTGTGGGACCAGGTGGGACAGAACCTTCGTCTACACCCCCATAGTGGTGGATATGTGGAAATACAGAGTATGTCTTAGGTCTCCCACCAGTACCCACAGGAACCAGAGAAACAAGTAGGTAAGAACAAGACAAGACAAGACAAGAAATAGCTAATTAACCGAAAGGATTTGACAAGAAGTTAACTTCTTCACCTGTGGTAAGGCAGAAGGACACCTTGGCAGAACCATTCCCCTTATGGCTGGATTGTAAGGGATTGAGCTCTCAGTCTCCCAGTGGCACCACACCTTCCAAGTAACACCAGACCAGGCCAGGCCTCCTACACATAGAGCCCAAACCACAGCAGGCAGCCACTCTCTTCAGACTGGGTCATAGGGACTGATAGACAGCATTCCTGAGAGACAAGCCCTCCTCTCATCCAGAATTCATCCTGGGGCCTCCTAGGAGAAGACTGATGGGATATGCTTTCTTCAAAGCCACCCTAAGAGAAATTTGAGACTGCAGTAGGTAAAAGGTCCATCGAGGAAAAGGAAGCAGGGTACTTACTTTACTTTCATGGCTAAAATGAAACAGAGAAACCAAGAGGCTGCACAAGGAGATGCAGACACGTGTGCAACCAATCTGAAAAGACCTTTGCAAATCACATGCAAGCTTAACAATCAAGGTTGGCAAGCAGACAGGGATGACAATAGACCTTTGCATTTAGTACATGGTGCCAAGTGTGTAGCCAAAGAATTACAGGTAGCTGATGTGGTTGACCAGCCTGGGCCAACATGGAGCTGGGATCTTGAGATTGCACCTGTTTTCAAGCCTAAGACTCACTGTGAGGTTTCAAAGTTGGAACCCAAGTGGCCATGGAGGACACCGGTGCGGACCACTGGCCAGATGCTGGCATTGTATGCTGTCTTCTGCAGTCTTTGACACATCCTTTCCCATGCTCTCACTGCCCCTGAAACAGTATTTAGGTGACTAATCTGGTGGTTAAGATTGTCTTTCTTCCCCTTGCTGGCCTTGATGAGGTCGTGAGGAGCCAAGACCACTCTAGTAAACACAAAGGCATTCACTCCCTCAGAGTCAGTGTGTTTGGAGGTGGAGGGGAGAGACAGCATCAACCAGGAGCTCTGAACCCATCAGATTAGGAAAGGAGGGGCGTCTGGAAATTATGATTCTTAAGCTTCTCCATTCCTGAGAGATGGTCTTGTTTACATATATGTGGCCTAGGCTGACTCACAATCCTGCTTCACTTGGGATTCAACGTATGTACCACCATATCTGCCTCTTAGCAGCTATATTAGGTTAAATATTAAGTCCATTCATTCTGATAGGTCTTTACCACAGAGTAAAACTGAAAAGTAGCTTGAGGAAAGGAAACCTGTCTAGATGGCCTAGCCGCAGCACACAGCTGTTAAGTCCTGAGTTCTCAAGAGACTGAGGAGAGGAGGATGAGAAGGCTGCTTGAGCTTTGGGCAGCACAGTAAGACATCTCAGACACACTGATAAACAAGAACAGGCTTTAAACAAGCAAATAAGCATGAAGAGTGGTCTTTAATCTGCCATGTTGTGCACCTAACACAAGTTCTCTTTCTTATTTGACCAAGAGAGGGGAGCCCACAGCCCAGGAGCATGGCTGAATTTCCATCGGAACATACAGACTTAGTAATTCGGACACCAAGCAGAACCAAACTCCAAACATGACCACAGCCCACACAGAACACAGGCAGATTCTATAGATGTAAAATATTTTATTTGTAAATGGTGATCTTCTAAATCTGTGTCCACAAATTCCAAAACCCATAACACTCTGTATACTTCAAAAAATTCAATTTTGCCAACATTAGATACTATTATACAGAACAGAAAACAACGAAAACCCGGTAGGACAAATACTGGTAGGATGTCAGAATATTGTACAAGAGAAGAAAAATATTCAAGAAACAAATTTCATACAGCTATTTATCAAGAGAAAAATATATACAATTGATTTATTCTGTAAGATAAAAATACATCATGCCATATACATTACAAGCTGAGGGCTGTGTCACTGAGTGTACCACAGCTCACAGCCCACTCCAATTGTGCACACAAAACTTCATTTTTATACTTAGCCTGTGAAGTGTCAGTACCAGAATTTTAAGTACAAAATAAAAAGCTAACCTGGTTCAAATGCTGATTAAGTTTCTACAAGCAAACACAAAACAGTGTGGTTTTTTTTTTTTTATTAAAGAAATGTAAACAGTCATACAAACACATTTTAAAATTACATCTTCGAAAAACCCTATTGCCGGAGTCCTGCAGCTGGGAGTATAATCACATCTCTCACTCTCTCGCTTTTTTTTTTTTTCCTTTTTCAAATTTTTATGTTAAATAGAAGGCTAAGGAGTTGGGTTAGGTCCCTGCTACATGACTCTATTATGTTTACATAATTCTGTGTGGTTGGAAACAAAGTTCTAATCAAAACTACTTTTGCTGAAGAAAAAAATTCAGCCTCCATTTGGGTGTGTGTTTAAGCCGTTATTCACAGTTATCACAAATTGTAAGCTCAAAAAAAACCTGACTGAAGAAGTAGGGATGCAACAATATAACATGAAACATTAGTTTAAATCACCAACAGCTATAAAAGTTGTAGTCGTAGCACAGCGCTGCTCTGTCAGAAGTCAGGTGTAGAAAACAAGCACTAATAGACAGTTTCCAAAAAGCCCAGACACACCAGGGCAGAATTTTGGTTATTACATAATTATAATGGCATATTTAATAACAAAATTATATTGTAACATCCCTACAACGGTTATAAGCACCCGAGCTGCTGCAGCGCCTGGTAGCATTTGGTCAATAACTATTTTTATACTGTTTTTCTCAAAATATTTACATATTTGTACAAAGTAACAGGGTTTGTTAGTTCTGCAGGTAACAGCAGCAGCTTGGCTTTCTTCTAACTTTTATTTAAAAATAGCTTCATTCACTTATTCAATAATAAATACAAAAAGTTTCTCTTATTTTACAGAAATCAAAAACTACAATAAACTGACTCATGGAATCAAGTATTCAAATGTATTTAGTGCAAGTTATTATCCCTTAGCTCTATCCCTAAGGAAGTCATCTCAGTACATTCCTTGATCAGTGGTGTCCACTTAGTTAAACTCAGGGCCTGCCCCTGTCAGTAAGGCGTGGCCAGCACTCTGGACAGCCCCCTTCGCTGGTGATTTCAGTCTTACATTCATAGGAAGGCCCCCACCCTGGGGCAGGGCAGCCGCCGGCTCTTTGCCCCAGAAAAGTTTCTCCTTAATGAGACTAACAAAACAAAAACAAAACAAAACCCACCCACAAGGAAACAAAAGGAGGGAAAGAAAAGAAAAAGAAAAAGAAAAAAAAAGTGCTGGACCATTCTGTGACTCTGTTGACCTCAGTGCACAGCAAGGCAGCCTCAGTTGGCTCTCTCTGTGCTGTGCTTCCTTCAGACAAAGGCCGAGGAACCAGAGCTTCCAGAAGCTGTTTTTCAAAAAGTCAGAAAACAAAAATATCTTTCTGTCTTGTAAAATCCAATGAAGTGTTGAGTCGCCTCTTCCTAGGAACGAGCCGCCCGCCGAGATAGCAAGGAATGCATTCAGTTCATCCACTTCCGACAATTCACCGCTCCACAGTGACATGGAATCTTGTGCTGGTCATCTTCAAAGTCAAACTTATAATCATAGCAGAGCTGTGCATGGCAAAGACACCGTGTGAGACAGGGCAGTGCCCCACTTCCATCTGCCTTGCATTTCAAATCAGCAAACCAAATAAACATAAGCCAAAGCCAGCCTGGGTTTGTTGAGGTCCCATGGAATCTTTTGGGAAAGTGGGGTAGGTTGGGGTGCCACTAAAAGAAGGTAAGCTGGATATGCTGAGTTCCTATGTCTTCTCATAATGTTCTCTCCACCACTTTGGGCACTCCCTCAAACCACAGAAGGCTCCCTGGATTTGAACTTGCCGTTGCCAACATCATGGCTTTCCCCTTCTCATGTGGATGGAAGCTTCTGAAGAAGTCACCTCTCCTTGAAGCTCCCACAGACTTACTATCTGATTAGAATTTATTACCAGGGGGAGCTGGAACATTGCAGATCTACATAAAAATGATCTGGGGCTCTGTTTAATCCTCTTCATTGCCTTGACTACCAACATCTGTACCTTGTAATGTTGTAACATTATAATAACTATAAGATAACGATTTAGAGTATTACTAACTTCCACCATCCCAAACCTGTCTTCAGATAGCATCTCAAGCCTGCCAACATCTCATTTCTCATCAATTAATGCACCGATTGAGCACTTTCTTTTGTCCTGTGATGACAAAGGCAATGCCTTCTCCACAGTGGAACATGATGGACTTCAGCATACCTTGAATTTGTTTTTGCAACCAAGGCCACTTGTATGTGGTTCAGGATGAACTAGTCTTCCCAGTTTTTTTGGATCAACATCCAAATTCCAGGCCAACCAACTGGGTGGGAAACAGCATGCCTCCCACCAAATCAACTTTATACTCTTGCCTCCCCCCGCCCCCCCCACACACACACACCATAAAGCCAGGTGAAGGGCCAGGCACAGTAAATCTCTTGGGTCTTTCCTGACTCATAAATCAGATACTATCTGGAAGACTACATAAGGAGGAAAATTGCACCTGCAAAGCAGCTATTAGGTGTCTGCCGAGTTCTTCCCCCCATAGAAGGAGATGATATTTCTCCACTTTACAGAAAAAAGGCTTAGTGAAGCTAGAGGATGTGTGCAAGATGACACAAACAGGAGCCACTAGGCTGGGGTATGCAGGGCCTGTCCTGGAGTGATGCATCCTGGGTTCTGACACCTGGATGTTTTTATATGCCTGTTACTGTGAACTATACAGTAGCTACATAAGCGCCTTCCAATAATACATCATGTGAGTTACTGAGTTCATGCACCTGCCAGAGGTGGCAACTCCATGTCTTGGGGTCAAATCAGTGGCAGGCATCATCTTGAGAGGGGCGTGCCAGACTGTCCAGATGAGGAGTCAAAGAAGTTTGCTAAGATATGTGGATATATCATGTGGCTTTGAGAACTACCACAGAAGCCATCATTTGAATGTTTGAAGTGAGATAAAGAGATGACAAAACTCTGGGTTAGGGACAAGTTTCTAAAAATAATGTGTTGAGACCCAAGGGCCATGAACTGCTATTTCCTGTAACAGACAACAGGCAGATTGGCTCTCTTCTACTCCTTACCTCTTCTCCTTTCTGGATTCTCCTGTTGGAGCTAATGATAATCTTGTGTCCTCTCTCAAAGGTCACTACTTCAGCCACACAGTTAGGGGCACAAGAATGGTTAATATACCTGCAAGACAAATCAGAAAACTGAACATGAAAACAATGAGGAGCTTTCCCCTCTAAAGAAACTGATGATGTTTCTATTCATGTAGGAACAAAGTGAGTACAAAGACTTCAACTCCAGTCCACGGCACAGCCACAGTGGGGACATTCCTACCCAAGCAAAGCCCTCTGGACCAACTGTCTTTCTGCCTCACCTTGCAGGCCCTCCTGTGAGTGTGGCGTCAATCACGTGGTCATTGTCCATGCGGAACATGTACACGCCTCGGTTCTAAAGAGAAGACATGTTGTCATCAGTGTGATCTGAAGCTCCTTCACTCCACACTCAGTCTGTGCTGAAAGCACCCTGGTCACATTCCTGGACCCTACCAAACACAGCTGATACATTTCTGACGGGTCAGTGTGAACATCAGATGGGGCATTTGCAAAGCTGGGGTATTAATCTACGGTTACATATGGGCAAGTAACACTAGCTACAAAAGGTGATGGTCAAGGGAAGAGACAAACAAGAGCTATGTAAGAGTCTGCAGCTATGGCTTCTGTTCACAACTGAGTACACATGGCTGTGTTCTTCAGATGTCTGTCGTAGTCAATTTATACAGTACCTGGGACTCATAAAGCTTCTCTTTTCTGTTTGCAACTTCATTTCGAATAATCGTTCCGATGTACTCAATGACCATGGTGTGTTTTTCAATGTCTCTAGCAGCATACAGGCCCAGTCCCTAAACAGAAGGAAAAAAGGATTGTATGCATTCCAATACACCTGACAGACCTTTATTCTCTTCATAAAAATGTACTGCCCTAGGAGTCTTATCAAAAGCCATATCTAAGATTTCACCTACATTTGAAACAGGATCTCACTAAGCTGTCCAGGCAGTCCTTGAACTTGTGGTCCTCCTGCCTCTGCCTCCTGAGTGGCTGAGATGACAGAAAATCTGAGTTGCTCAACACATTGGAGCCTTATTTGGCAGCTCATACTGTCTAGACCAGTGCCTGGTAAACCTTGTAGTGTACTGTCTTAGATGCAGTAGCAAACAAAGTTGTGGAAAATAGCACATTTATAGAGTATATAAATAAATACAACATTCATAGATGATCTGCATTTTCTTGCCCTAATTTGGGTTTGTGCTTTTGATTCTGATCAAGGAAGAAACTGTGGAAAAAAGAGAAGAGAAATTGTTAAGAACAAGTCTTGTTCATGGTATCTGCCAGAGGCCTACATGTCACAGACTTATCTTTAAAAATAGGAAAAAGAAACTCACTCACGCAGTGTGAATGGTTCCAGGTGTAACTCAGATGTGAACCAGAATATAAAAAGGATGTGGGTGCAGACCAATATTGTTTGGATCAGTGTAAGCAAACAGTCCAAATTGATGCCTGTTCTGAGAACCTAAGGTACAGTAATGGCAATGGTTGCAAGATCAAGTTTAGCACAGCAGGTTATATGTCAAATGGCATTATGATAATAGGCTATACAATGAAAGGAAATAAAAATAAAAATTGAAGTTTTTTGTAAAGATAAAAAAATTAGGAGAATACAACCTACAGTGTGTGCAGAGTAATGATATGAACATGTATGTTTGTCTATATAAAAATATAAAACCTTTGTAAGTAAAAAAGATACAGCCGGGTGGTGGTGGTGGCGCATGCCTTTAATCCCAGCACTCTGATTTCTGTGAGTTCCAGGCCAGGTTGGTGTACAGAGTGAGTTCCAGGACAGGCTCCAAAGCCACAGAGAAATCCTGTCTTGAAAAAACCACCACCAACAAAAAAAGATACTAGAGTTTCTGGAGAGTATAAGATATTTCATATGGGAAAACACCTAACACTGCAAGCTGGCACAACCTGAAAGGGACAAAGGTGATGAAAACATGTAATTCTCTCAGAAAGGCAAGTACAGACGCCAGTCATGAGGAGACAGCTTCTCCAGGAGTCAGGAGCTGTATCTAACTAAGACTCTGTCTGAGGCTCTGTGGTGAAAAACATTTCTTCCTCTTCCAGAGAAACTTCTGGTCAATTCCCAGGACCCACATGGCTGCTTACAACAGTCTTTAATTCCAGCTCATAGGGTCCCAATGCCCTCTGCTGGCCTCATTGAACACACATATTCACATAGTACACATACCAACACAGAGACATATAAATAAAAATAAGAATAATTTTTCTAAAAAAAGATCTCAGTGTTAGTCCATACCTACCAACATGTCAAAATATAAAAAGGTGGGAATACCTACAAGAGAAAACTAGAATAGAGTCATAGACTGCAGAAAGAAACCAGTAATTCTGGCCTTTTTGAAATATATATTACTAAGGTAAAAAATAAATATAGTTTACACAGAAGCCTTACTTTTTGGATTCTACTCCAGATGACTGAAACTAAGTGTTAAGACACTGATGGCATAGCATTGTTGTGACACACTGTCAATAGCAGCTAAGACACTGATGGCATAGCTTTGTTGTGACACACTGTCAATAGCAGTGCAATCGCGCAGCCACAGTTCATCATCATGAAGCAGCACAGGACTTAATGAGAACACAATGGAGGCCTCAGTTAATGTAGAGACCTTGTGCGTTAGTGGGGGAAGTAAGTATAGACAATATGATTCTATTTTTATAAATGTGCGTATGTGTGTGTGTTCCTAAGACACAAGCACAGAAACATGTAAGACATCTACTACCGTCACCATGGTAAACAAAGAAGTGAGCAAAGAGAAAAATGATAAAAGAAAAATGACAGTTGAAACTCTGAAAGATGACTCAAGTTGTGTCAAGGAAGATGGCTCAGTGGATAAAAGGGCTTACTGCAAAACAGTCTGACAATCTAAGTTCAATCACTGAAGCTCATGTAAAGGTGGAAGGAGAGAACCGACCCCCAGAATTTCTCTCTGACCTATACATGTACACCACGGCATATGCACACCCTCATACAGGTCCATCATGACTTGAAGACAGAGTTGAGATTCTATCAAAACCATTCCTCAAAAAACGGGAACAGGCACAGAATGAACAATCTATCTAAAATGCAAATGAGGAGGAAAGCAACTGAAAGCAGCAGAGACAGGGCAGGGCACAACACACCCACATAATCTCAAAGACGGTCACAGCAGAGAGAAAGGAATGTGAAACAAGACTTAGAACAAAATGACAAGTGCCAAAAGCTCTTAGGTGGTTGCTGAAAATTTGTAAGAAAAATCAGTCAATAAAGCAGAGGACATTGCAGAAGAGCAAAACAAGGGAACCAAAAGAAGTAGGAAAAAAGCCACGAAGAAGGCAGATGCTCATCTAAGTCATAAGACTGGCTGAGTCCCTCCAGAGTGGGTCTCGGGTGGGCAAGCCAGTTTGTCAGTTTAAGAACTCCTGGCTGATGCTGAGAGTCTCCCGAGCTACACGTGGAGACCAATAGTCGTTTCTGGTACAAACATAGAGAAAGTAGAGGACAGGAAAGAAGAAAGATGCTCAGGCTGAAGGTCCCCAATGCTCTAGACTAAAAGGATTCACCAAGAGAAGAACGTGATATGAAGAGGGCCTCCACTAGGCACATTTGCAAAATGTCTAAGAACAAGAAGATTCTAGAAACTACCAGTAAGGAGGAAAGAGCTTGTACTAAACTCATAAGACTCTGTACTGTACACAGCAACACTGGTTTTCGGGAAGAGGCTGGAACTTGGAGGAGGGCGGGGTGAATTAACACGATTTTATGGCAGGATGGATCTGAGAATACATATCCACTTAGGCACTGATATAGATACTATTCAACCACAAAAGGACATTTACAAAATTGGAGCTTTATAATTCCATTCTGGGACAGGAGAGATGTTGATTAGACATGTCAGTATTAAGATCATAACACAGGAGGTAAGGACTACATTTTAATTTTAAATGCTCACATTTAGATACTCCACTGTCTACCAGGAATGTGCAGTGATTTCATGAAAAGGCAGTGCTCAAAAGCTGCAGTGTCACATCAAAGTTTTTAGAGTAGCCTGGAACTCGTGGTGCTCCTGGCTCTACCTTCCAACTGCTGGCATTTATTTTTACTTTTCACATGTGCTTGTAAATAACCCTGCTGAGCTGTCAAAACTTGGTGCGTGCAAGATCCAGTTTCCCCACAGTCTTTACCAACGTATCAAGATGTAAATTCCTAAGGACTGCTGTCTACTCCAGGTCCAGCACCAAGTTCTCAGGCTACAAACCACAGTCCTCATGCTGCAAACTGAAAAGGTGGAGCAAAGCTCTCAAAGCAAGATTCCAAGGCTGGGATTCGCTCAGTGGTAGAGCACTTCCTTAGTACACACAAAGCCCTGGGTTCAAATCACAGAACCACAAAACAAACAAACTAAACAGGTCAAACATTCCTCACCTGGATCCGAGACCGGGCCAGATACACATTAGATTTCCATTCGGTCTTCATTCTCCGGTACTGTGATGACTTGGAGTGGACGAACTGCTTACTGTAGGGTGCGTTCAGCTCTCCAGTGACTGTGCTCTGAAATGACTTTGAGGTGCTGGTGCTATTCAAGGTGTGAGGCCTACAGATGATAATGTGCCAACAAAAAAATAAAAGGACAACTGAAGACACCTCTGAATAGTGCAAAAGCCAAACAAGTTAAAGGCTGTAGTAGCAGAAACACACAGAAAGCGGTCTAGCAGAGACACAGTGCGTCTTCTGAAGTTGTCAGAAACATACACAGCCAGAGACAGCAGGGTTTGTAAGCAGCAGACAGATCAAGCACAAAACCCACTAAGGTGCCTAGAAACCCTGGGCTGTACTATGTGAAGATGAAACAAGATACCTTAACACAAACCTCTTGACATGGGCGCTCATTTTAGGTTCAGAACGAGCACAACCTGTGGGGTTAACAGCAAGGGGTAGCTCCATGAGAGGATTTCGGCCATATCGGAAGGTGTAGTTTTCACACGCTTCAACCCCAGGTAGCTAAAAAAGAAGGAAAATACGCAAAAAGGTAACTCATCTGGCCAAAGATATAATCTTCAACTTGCCAAAAAGATGGCCATGTTTTCTTCCCTTTTGTGATCTATTAAATATAATGAGCCTGCATGCATAACTTTTTTTTGGGGGGGGGGGGTTGAGACAGGGTTTCTCTGTGGCTTTGGAGGCTGTCCTGGAACTAGCTCTTGTAAACCAGGCTGGTCATGAACTCACAGAGATCCACCTGCCTCTGCCTCCCGAGTGCTGGGATTAAAGGCATGCGCCACCAATGCCCGGCCATGCATAACTATTTGAATAAATGTGTAAATCCAAATCCAAAGCAAATTTGGTGAGCCCAGGCCACTTTTCTTTGAGAAGAAAATTAATTCTCAGAGCCATTAATACACCATCCAATGCCCTCCTGCATGTGAATCGGGATCTGATGTTTTAGTTTAGTTTAGTTCACAACCTAGTGAACGTATTTGTCTAGATGTTTAAAACTCTCAAGTAATGGAGTCACCTATGTGCTTTAGTTTCACTTCTGTCAAATGGGATCGTGAAATGAGGCGTCACTCTCACTGTTCTAGCAGTATTGGTGGTAAATAAAGATTTACCAGAAAACTAACTATTATGTCCAAAGGTCTTCTTTACTCCATGCTCCCCCTTTAAAAGAATTTACTCTGTTTACTCCTGTATGTATTTATGAAGGGAGGGAGGGAAGGAAGGAGGAAGGGGGAGAGAGAGAGACAGAGAGACAGAGAGACAGAGAGAGAGAGAGAATATGAGTGTGTGTGCCTGTGTGTATATACACAGTGCCATGGTGACATGGTGAGTGAGCCCTTAGAGGTCAGAGGACAAATTGTGGGAGTTGGTTCTTTCCTTCCACCATATAAGTCTTGGGGGTTGAACTTAGGGTTGTCAGGCTTAGTGGCAGTGCCTTCACCTGCTGAGCCATCTCACCAGCTTGGTCTTCTTTTCTACAAAGCCTACTCATCCATCCATCCATCCATCCATCTTCCAGTCCTCCAACACTGTACCACTGAACTAGAACCTTAACCTTCTTTTATTTATTTATTTTTTTAACACTCTGAGATAGGATCTCACTAGGTTATCCAGACTGATCTTCAACTTACATGTCTACCTCAGCATCCTAAATATATCTGAGATTACAGGTCTTAACCACCAGGCCTGGCTCTAGAATATAGTTCTAGTGAAATATGTTTCTCAAGTATTACACAGAGTCATTGCCAAGCACACCTACACTCAGAGAAGACACTAGTCAGTGCTGCTGCAACCTACTGCTCTATGAGACTACCTTACCTGCCCCTTGGACAAGAGCAGGAGAATGTCAAGGAAACTTAAGGGGAAAAACATTCTGCAAAACACCAGAAATTCATCAGGCCAAGGGCATAATCTCAACCATGTGGATAAACAGACGTAATAAACACCAAGTGCTTCTCTGAGAGAACTAAGCTCTCCACTTAAACACCCACACTCATTTCCTCATGAGAATGGGTCAGTCCTGGAAAGTAGGAATGTTGCTGTGGGTAGTGCTGTGAGCATGCTGGATCCGGCCATGACCAGCAGGACACTTACTGACTCTGCTATCCGTGCCACTGCAGAGACAGTCAAGCCGAACAAATCCTCTCCTCTCAGATATGCAGGGAAGAGCTGCAGCATCTCAGAGTTCTTCCTCACACATGCCACAGGCTCCAAAATTTTATCCCAAACATCTATATATGAACAAGAAAATAATGTTTATGGTGAATTTCCTTTTAGCTAAACAAAGAGAAAAACTGGACACCATACAAAACCAAGAGAGGATAAAGAAGTCATTCATAAAGACTTACAAGTTTTCAAATAAAACCTGTTGGGCAGCAATGTAACAAACATTGTTTGTTAAATGGCAGCAACTTATTTTAAAGACTCAATAAAATCTGGGGGAAAATTATGCCACCTAACGAACGTCAAACAGTAAACATCAAAGAAGTTAGTGAATTCAGTTGGATATGTAACAAAGAAAATGCTCGGTTAAAAAAGTGACTAATTCAATTAGCAATGACTGACAATAGGCATTCCCTCAGTTGAGAATTGAAACGCATGGCAGTTTCTTTGGAAATATCTTTAGACCACCATGTTTTTAAAGCTCTGAAAACATTTTAAAGCAGTACTTTCTGCATCAATAAAAAGGAAAAGACAGACATGCCTAGGAGTACAAAATGAAGTTTCAAATTCCCAGCTCTAAATCTGAAGCTAGGATAGGACCATAACATAACAATGCTTTAGATATGGTCGCTGCTTTCTAATAACTGACCCTGAGAAGGGCTCCAATGTAGATGACAGACAGGCCTTAGCAACTCTTCTGTTCAAACCTGCATAAAAACTGTAGAGCAAAGAACAAGGTGTGGTAACACAAAGAAACTGAGATTTACATTGACAAATAAAAAAAAGAAAATCCTCATGAAATGGTCATGGAAAAAAACAAATACTTGACATTGAAACATCCATTTGCTTGACAAAGCACTGATCTTACCTTTAGGTGATGAATCACTTAAGACCAGGTCCTCGTGGCCTTGCTCTACAATCCTGATGACAAACACCGGCCGCCCATCTTTCTCCTCAATGGAGCAAAGGTAGCGGCAGCGCCGGTTGGCATAGCGCGTGCTCCAATATAACCGGCTAGCTTCATAGCCTACTGGGAAGAGTGCTTTAGGAGAGTGGAATGCCTGCATCTGTTGTGGAAGCAGCTGACCAATGGTGTGGAAGATGAGGCTCCCAACACGAAATGTATGGTCCCGTTCTCCTCGTTGTACGATGCTAGCAATCTGCCGCACCTCGTCTCGTTGGACGTAGACCCTCCTGAAGACTGCAAAGTAACTTAACTCTTGCTCGTGCATTCCCTTTGGTTTGTGCATGGGGCAAAGCATTGTTTTGTCCTTAAAAAACATGCATTGTGCTTTAATGGCGCAAGTAAAATGATAAATGTTGGTGCATCGAAATCTGTGACATCCACTGGTGGCACCTGTCTTATGACAGAAGACACATTTCATTTGTAGCCCTCTCCTCAGCGCTAGCTCAACATTTATTAAGGCACCAGCCTGTGTCTCATAGACCTCTGTGGACCACAGAGCACAATTCAAGTGGACCCACAGGTCCAAGTCAAGGTTGAGCAGCCTTGCTGGTCCATCTGTTAGCCCATCACCTTCTTCGTGACAAAAGCAACACTTTCGATAGTCTTTGGGCACAGGGTCAGGTTTAAGAGAAGTACCCAATTTCCTCAGAACCTCATCAATCTCAGCCTCACACGGTGGCTTAAAGGTCCCCTTGGGGATGACAATATGAATACTCCACTTCTTCCACTTCATCCCTCTCCACTTTTTACTCAGTGGTCTACAGTCTTCAAGCCCACCATGAAGAGTCCTCAGGCGAGGCTTCAACTTGACTGTCACCTTGAGCTCTTCAGGCTTGGACTCGACTTTGGCTGCTTCAAAGGCTGGAGGGAAGGTTATGGGAGGTGACGGAGGAGGGGAAACTTTTTCCTGGAACTGAGGGAGACAGTGGACATCCAAAGTGGAGATGTTGTTGCTGTACTGGTGAAATGCTTTGCAAGGCTCCTTCATAGGGGATTGTGGCAGTGGAGGAAGGGACTCCTGGCAGCAAAAAGAAACCATAAGAAAACCATGTCCTGAGAGTAATTCTAGCTACAGTGAGAAGTCTAGTGATATATGACTTAGGAACCATAAGAAAACCATGCCCTTAGAGTAATTCTAGCTACAGTGAGAGGTCTAGAGGTATATGACTTAGGTTGGTACAGGTGAGTAAATTTTTAAGTACAACAGGTAGACCTGGGGATGGTTATTTAATAGCAAAAGAATCAGAGAAGGTAAAGGGCAAAGGGCACCCTTGTGCTTCTCCTACAAAGTCACAATCTGGAGACTATTTTACTCTTGAACTTTCTTGGGACATCCCCCTTCCTAAGTGTAACAAAACAAAAATGATTTTAGAATATCTAATTCAATTTGTATAACAGATTAATACTTTTAAGAACATGGCAGCATCACCTAGAAAGGATTCATGTCCACTCATTAATTTTTGTTTGTTAATCAACTAGCATGAAAGAACAGAAAGGAAAGGAGAACCCTGTCAGTGAGTAAATCACTTAAGAGTCTCCTGAGCCCCTCAGCTAAGACTAGCTGCTCAAGGAGTTGGGCCAGGAGAAAAGTACCAGCACCTCTCAGGTATGGGACAGACCATCCAAAATCAAAACAGTAACGTCATATGCTCACTTCAGCTCACATCCCTATCCTAAGAGGTGCTTCATATTAAAATCTAGAGTGGGTCAACTTAAGTATCAGATTAAGAAACTATATGATGAAAACCCACTCCTGCTCTATGAAATAAATTTTAATTAAAAGACTGAATTTATTTGTCAGCTTAGATTATATCGGACTAATATATGTTAAAAGTAGTATTTCTTGAATACTCTATTGTGAGAGTCATATTAATGAAATTATCTTCAAGCAGTAATGACTGGCAATACTATTTTACAGAATTTTTTTCCTTCAAAATGCATCAAATAAAAACAGATCATTTGGCCGGAAAGTAGTGGCACACGCCTTTAATCCCAGCACCCAGGAGGCAGAGGCAGGCAGATCTCTGTGAGTTCAAGGCTAGCCTGGTCTACAAAGCTACACAGAGAAACCCTGTCTAGAAAAACAAAAAACAAAAAAGAAAGAAAATGTATCATTTGAACAACTACATTGTTAGATACACAGAACAGCTTACAATGGAGGAATAGACAGAATTTTCTTTTTAAGAAACCTTTCCTACTGACCAATTTAGTAAGATGTTTAAAATTATTATAATGCAACATTCTAGTACTAATGCTCTATTTAGTTCTACATTCTTAAAACGTAGTTGAGCTAGGAGCTGGATAGAGACAGCTCAGCAGTTGAGAGCACTGGCTGCTCTTCCTAAAGACCAGAGTTCAGTTCCCAGCACCCACAGGGTGGCTTATGACTAGTTGTTACTTCAGTTCCAAGGGGTCCAATGTCCTCTTCTGTTCTCCAGAGGCACCACACGCATGGCATACATACACATTCAAACTACACATTTATACATATAAATAAAATTAAACTTAAGAAAAACACAAAAAATATTTTTTAAAAGAAAATGTAATTAATCCATGTATGGTGGTACACAGTTGTAATCCCCCAACTCTGAAGTCTGAAACAGAAGGATGACTATGAGTTGGAGGCCACCTTGAGCTACACAACAAAAACAAGATAGATGGGCAGGCAAACAAGGGTCCCAGGCAGGCAGCAGGCCAAGGCAGGAGGATTATTAGTACAAGGCTCCGTGGGACCCACATCAACAATAAAAATTAAAAGAGGAACAAGCAATAACTTAGCATTAAAGTAGTTGGCTAGCATGTATTGGGCCCTAAATGCAACCCCCAATACCACTACGTAAATGAGTGTTAAGATGTAATTTACACCTTTCCACTTTTTCTCAAATAGATTATTAGGGAAAATATAGCTGAAAGCTATTTCAGGCTTGTCTGTCAATCAATTTCTGATTAGGATTTCCCTATAGGAGCTCTCTGAGGGAGAGACATGAAACTCACAAGGCAGAAATCCCTCATTACATAGTTTCCTCACTTTACCTTATTTTCTGGGTTTTTTGCTTGTGCAGTTGATGAATAAAGAATAAAGCAGTTATTGCTACAAAAGACAATATCCTTTTCCATCCGTTTGGTGTTCTCTCTGGGACTCTGAAAAGCAAAGGTAAATATGTGGGACCTCAGTAAGACACAAGCTAATGAAACCAGTACCCCAAGGACGTCAGTTCTCTGCTGATATTCAAAAGTGAGTGTCCACTATCTTCCAATTGTGATGGCACTGTCCCAACGTTCACCCTCTGATAATTTTCCACGTAAAAAATAATGCAGAGTTGGGCCTAGTAGTACAGACCTTTAATCCCAGCCCTTGACTTTAAGGCCAGCACTATAGGACAGCCAGCACTATAGAGACAATGTCTAATAAAATAAAATTAAAAAAAAAAAAAAAGAAGCAGCAGAAACTATACTGTCCGTATCTCACTGTGTTTTAAAAATGCATTCCTCATCATGAACATTTTAAGAGTCTGTTGTAGCTATTTGGTTTGAAGCTGAGCACACCGAATATGTGCTTGTATATTGTGTCCCATGAAGCACTTTGTCCTGATGCAGGAATCATTGCCAAAAACATGGAGGTAGGGTGGGTCATTAGAATAATAGTATAGTACCTTGTTCACAAAGGTCAAGTCTTTTAATGACTTCCGCACACCACTTCCAAGAATAACCACTTTGCAGTGACAACACCACTGTGGTCGGAGTGATGTATTATCTGCTATACCATGACTGGAATCTTTAAATCCAGAAAGACCTACAAGCAATGGACTTTTGTTAGCAATTAAAACTGACTAAACATACAGGTAGCATACAGTATAAAATTAAACTGTAACAATCAATTATAATATGGATTATTGATTTACTTTATATTATGCTTTAATAAATATCTTCTAAGCTATGGTGACAAGGCATCTAATATTTGACACTGAGATAGAAAAAGGAAAAAAACCCACTCCCAAATAATGAGAAAAAGAAACTAGCATGAAATAAAAAAAGGCAAAGCACTAAGATCCTCAATGTATACAGTGCATCAACAGAGACCAGACCCACTTCTTGACAGGTAAGATGATACTGCAAGTTCTATGGGAGATAAAGAACAAATAGGTACAAATGACTTATGTGATTTACAGCATCAAAGAGAAATGAGAGCCAAGGTATATTTTGAATAAGGGCTGAGGGATCAGAAGAGCAGGTCTACATACAGAGTGTATCTCCTGGGGGAGAGAAGTGGAGATCAAGGCAGAAAAATGGAAGGCTAAGATTGCAAAGAGTTCAAAACTAACATAGGTAACTTTCAAAAAGTTCAAAGATGAGAAATGAGAAGCAACCAGATTCTAGTAAAAGTTTAGGGAAGACAAAATATTACAAGGAATCTGGGGGATGAGGACGTGGTGTTGGAATGGAGCTGGCACTTAAGATGCCAGTGAGCTAGAAGAAAAGCAACTTCACAGTAGGCCTAAGGAAGACACACCAGTTCTCAGATTTGGGGACCTAGGCATCCCTATGGGAGAAAGGATGCAGAGGGTGCATAAAGGCCAACTAAGGAAGTGACAGCAACATCAGCCAAGCAGAACAGACAAATAACATGCTAGCTATTGCCTCATGTACAGTCAGGGCTACAATCAATCTTGATGCAGTATGATGCCATAGGCCAGAGCATAGAAATTCATATCACACCACAGAAAACAGCCAGAGAAGGTTAACTTATCAAAGATTGCACGACACACTGCCTATTATTTATTAAAAATTAAATAAAAATTTCAAAAGGAGTAGGCTTTACTTTTTAACCAAGAATGGATTTGGGGTTAACAAAAAGCTCACTAGCTCACCATTGCTTGTTGGAGGAAATGGTACATTAGGCTGCTTCAGCCGGTAAGAGCTTGCTAATCTGGGAGGATTTGCAGATCCTGGTGGAGGCCCACGAAGAAGCAAATGCTGTCGATACTCCAAACCTGGGTTTACTCTGTGGCTACTGACCAAACCCATGGATGGACCATCTGGAGCATTACTAACCTCATAGCTGTTAGGAATTCGCACATGAAGAAGGTCGGAAAACGCAGCCACAACACTGCTAATGTTCTAAAACAAAATTTAAACACTGTGTTACTCAACTAGAAGAAAAGTGAGCCACTGAGCAGAATTAATACTTAGGATGATGCTGTCTTAATGATATATACAGTACAAAAGACCGCAACTACTTTATTTTAAACTTAAACTATTATCATGAACTAGAATACAAACAAAGCCTTCACATAAACAGAAATCTTCAGGGTTCTAGCTGGCATTGGGATCTGTAAACAGTAAACTATTCTAGCTACCTTGGTATCTGACAGGCCTAAAAGACACAACCACAGGAAATGAGAAGGCCCTCGTGATACTTATGGGAAAACTCACTTCTATCTAGTTCTGGCAAAAAGTCCAACATGTCCACAACAGTTCTGCAGACAATCAAAACATCATTCACTGTACTGTAGGTCTGATCTCCAAGAACATGTCTTTATAAAAAATGGAGCTTTAAAAAAATCCTTGATAGATCATTAGTGAGTGCTTTAAGCACAAGCTGCCTGTACAAAGTTTCTGTTGCTTTTGTAGACTCTATTATTGACTTTAAGGCTTCTTTCTAGAGTTCTTTAAAGCAGACATCCTTTTACAAGAACACATGAACTCTCGGCTCCTATTTTTCTTTTTCTTTTCTTTCTTTCTTTTCTTTTTTTTTTTTTTTTTGGCCTTGGCTTAGGCTCAGATTAATGTCATATTTAATAGTCCTCAAGTACAGTCTAGATGTCCGAAATGAGTCTCCATCCTACCCGTATCATTTGTTCTGCTACCCTGAATTCTGTTTCATTGTGAGCTTTAACAATGGGACACACTCTGCAGCATAAGTGATTCATCTTTTACCTCAGCAGCTGTAGGATGCAGGGTGATTGCTACAGATATAAGACCCGATCTGGGACCATTTGGGGATGAACCAAAAGGTGAAGTAAAAAATAAAGTGCCAGGCTCAGTTTTGATTTCATTTCTTCTTGATTCTGAACCTAAAAGGGGTAGGGGAGAAAAGAGTATTATAGCTTTCAAGATCAAAATATTTACAATAGTAACCTGATAGACTAAATTAATAAGGCTAATCTCTTACTTTTCCCAGAAATGCTGGGAAGAATTGGGATGATGGGGGATGGAACCGGTTCTGGAGGCTCTTCTTTCACCAATGACAGATCTGGGTACCTGTTCACCTCTACACCAACCACACTCTCAGGAGAAGATGAAGGAACAAAACTGTCAGGAGTGTCCCGGTCACCATAGTGATCCTGTATCCTGAAAGAGGAGCACACACATCACAATGTGCAAACCCATTGGGGTTTCTCACCAATCCCATACGGACCACAGGAAGGGTACTCTCAGCAACAGCAATAACCTAACAGCAACTGGATCAGTCATCACTCTTCTAAGAAAACAGAAACTATACAAGTTTATGTTCAAGTCACACCTCATGTGACTACACAGGCATCTATCCTGCTGCTGTGCAGAGTGGCAAGATGAGAGAAAACATGGTCACTGTGGTGCTGGAGGTGCCAAATTTTCTTAAATAGTAAAATACAGTGGGAAAAGGGGGAGGATGGGAGGGAGTAGACTCCCTTGTCTCAGGCAAGGTTCTGGTTTACCAGAGAGATAGTGAGACCTCAAGCTAAGAATATGGAACATTGCTATGAATCTTCTATCTTTCATTTCTCCTACTCATACTTAAAAAGACATGAAAAAGGCTTCTGGGCAGTCATATAATATCCAGGGATTAAACAGACACCTGTGTTAGATCACCAAATACACACTCCCTAGTATGATTCTCTCCACAAGGCTACAAAGTTGGGAATTCTTAGTTGTGAGGTAAATGATAAAGGAAACCTGGATTTTAAACCCCAACAAGTGACACTTCCATGTGGCTACAGAAAACATCTATCCTGTTGACGGTGTGTACAGTGATAAGTTTTCTTAATAAAGTATGACACTTCAGACTAAATGGACATCTCAGAGCACAGAGATTCATCCGATTTTCCATGAAGAGAAAAGAACTCTTTAACTAGTTGATGCCTACCAGTATCAATAAATCCAACAAATCCTACAAACAGCTTAGAAAAGGAAACTCTGAAATATGGTTTCCCCATAACCTCAATGTCTATTTCATTATCATGGAATATAATGCTTAAGTTATGAAGACTTTAAAAATGTACAAACTAACTGCACTTCAACAGTAATGATGCCTTAGACAGCTTATATTCAAGAGTACTTCACACTTCAAAAGTTTTTATATACTATTCCTAAATATGCTAAGCACATTATTTTAAAAGATGCAACTAATTGATATTTAAAAGTAGTATCTCAGGCTGAGAAATGTTTCTGGCTGCTCTTCCAGAGGACCTAGCTTTAGTGTCCTTTCAAAAGACACAGTGTGCACAGCACAGCTTATAACCTGGAACTCCAGTTCCAGGAATCCAGTGCTCTATGCTGGCCTCTGTGGACACCAGGTATGCATGTGGTACTCAGACACACATTCCGGCAACACACACACACACAACACACCACACACACACACACCCAC